CGTGTAGCGGGGACCCCTATGAATCTCCATGGATACTAGTAGGCTGATAAAAGAGGAAATTTGTTGCCTAATTATTGAAATATAAAAGTATGACACGTGTTATGTTACAGAGTGCGTATGATTTCATGATATTTATAATGTTATTATTTTCATAAGTTATTTTCATGAATCTCACCTAGGTAAATGGACAGTAAAAGATATTATTATCGATAAATGAGTTTGTTACAAATTGTGCTCCATTGGTTGTTTTTGTTTTCTACCAACCTTTACTTCTGTGACAGTGAGATAGTGTGACGTCTTTACTGGGCTAGTATAGCTCATTCCTTACTTAACCATTTCAGATTAGGAGGACTTAGTTCCCGAGACCGTTCCGCAGGAAGATGGCGAGTAGAAGCTTAAAGATTTTATAGTTTTTCTTATAGTATTTCCTTTAGTTAGCTTATTCTTTCATATCTTTAATACGTTTTTGTTATTGTGTAAGGGATGTTAACCATAATCTATTTCATTTCGCTTCCGCATTTAAAATTTTTATATACATTTCTTTTTAATTTTCGGGACCGTTGTAGTTAGTATTAGAGCCGCGTTCTTCGGACTCATCTCTTACACAATAATACTTAGAGAAATACTAACCGATGAATCATTACTCAACTCTTCCTTGTGAAATGCAGGTACAGAGAGATGAGAAGAGGAAGACCGAGTAGCCCGGGATGATTCGCTTCGGGAAGATGTAGACAAAATATTTGAGATGCTAGAAAGGATCATTGTTGCCCAGCAAGGTCGAGAGGAGAGAAGGGAGTTACCCGACCCTCTCCCAGTACCACAGGTTGAGCCACCATTGTAGGGAGAGGATCCCGAACCCCCGGCACGAGCCTGCTCCTCCACAGTACCACCCGGCACCACCACCGCAGTATAATCCGGTGCCCCAGCCACAGTATTGTCCAGCACTGCCACAGTATAATCTAATGCCCCCACTATATCAGTAGGTTCTACCACAGGACCCCCCAGTCTATCCTCAGCCCGGCCCAGTCCCCTTTCCATGGGACCCAACTCCTTCTTTGATTGACTCGGGCTACGTAGAGAGGTACAGGAGACTGAACCCTTCCACTTTTGCAGGAAAATCCTATTTCGAAGATGCCCAGTACTAATTGGCGGAGACAGAGAAGGCTTTCAAGACCTTAGGAGTGGTTCCTGAGCAGAGGGTTACCCTTGCTTCCTACATGCTGGTGGGGGAAACAGATCGTTAGTTGGAGCTCAAGCAGACCACCCTGCTTACACCAGTCACTTGGGAGCAGTTCTTAGCAGCCTTTCATGCGGAGTACCTCCCCGAGCACATCCGACATTTAAAAGAGATGGAGTTTGTCCAGCTGGTCCAGGGAAACATGACGGTGTCGGAATATGTTCGTAAGTTCCTAGAGCTGGGCCGATACTCCCTTAAGATATTGATGGATGAGGGTAGGAAGGCTAGGAGGTTCCAGTGGGGCCTCCGCCCAAAGATCAAGCAACACCTATTTGTACTAGAGCTTAAGACATACTCAACCGTTCTGGCAAAGGCGCAGATTGTGGAGAAGAGTTTCAACACCCTTCCTCAGTCAGCAGGGAGTCACAGACCCTCAGCTCCACCCCACAGACCAGCACCGACTGCGCATGTCCAATAAAATAAGAGGCCCAGACCGGTGATCCAGGCTCCCCCTTGGGCTCTAGGGGCAGCACGTGGTAAGATCTGTCAGCACTGCGACAGGGATCACGGGGACCGACCATGCTACCGCCTCAACAACACCTGTCGCATATGTGGTAGTGCCCAGCACTATGCGAGAGAGTGCTCGAGGAACCAAAATCAAGAAAAACCTCCTATTCAAGGCAAGATTTACAACCTCACACAACAGGATACCGATGCCAACCCAGACGTGGTATAGGGTATGTACACTATTTGTAACCATATTGCTCGTGTTTTATTTGACACTAGTGCATCGCATTCATTTGTTTCACATGTTTTTGCATCCAAATTTAATGTATTACCTGATAAACTTGATTCAATGTTATTTGTGTCTACTGCTGGGGGTGAAACACTATTGGAAGAAGTTGTCTACATGGCTTCTGCCATGGAGATAGCAAATAAGAAACTGAGTGTAGACCTAATAGGGTTAGACACGAAGAATTTTGATGTAATTTTAGGGATGGACCGGCTAGCAGCGTATCACGCCACCATAGATTACTTTAGCAAAAAGGTTATATTTAATCCTCATAATGAAGAGGCATTGGAAGAAGTTGTCTACAAGGCTTCTGCCATGGAGATAGCAAATAAGAAACTGAGTCTAGACCTAATAGGGTTAGACACGAAGAATTTTGATGTAATTTTAAGGATGGACTAGCTAGCAGCGTATCACGCCACCATAGATTACTTTAGCAAAAAGGTTATATTTAATCCTCCTAATGAAGAGGCATTTACAAATTAATAAAATCATTTAGTACTTATTCCTTGATGACAAGTTTTCTTAATTATCAAGTACGTTAACCTTATTATTTTCTCTAACTAGGAAAGCCCAAGAAGAAAATTTGTATCCAAGAGATTCCGGTAGTCCGAGACTTTCCAGATGTGTTTCCGGACGAACTACCCGGACTGCCAGTGGACAGGGAAGTTGAGTTCACTATAGACCTACAACCAGGTACCCAGCCCATTTTGGTTGCACCTTACTGCATGAGCCGCGTTGAGATGGAAGAGCTGAGGAAACAGATCACTGAATTGCAAGATAATAGTTTTATTAGACACAGTGTGTCTCATTGGGGTACCGGAGTTACTTTTACCAGAAAGGGAGATGGAACGTTGAGACTGTGTATCGATTATAGATGATTGAACAAAGTCATAATCAAGAACAAATATACCCTTCCTAGAATTGACGATCTCTTCGATCAGCTGCAGGGTGCGCAGGTCTTCTCCAAAATAGACCTGCGATCAGGTTACTATCAGGTGAAAATAAAAACAGAAGATATTCCCAAGACGGCCTTTAGAACCAGGTACGGATACTATGAGTTCCTAGTCATGCCATTCGGGCTAACCAATGCCCCGACCATCTTTATGGACA